ACAAACAATTCTGCAGCACAATTTCCTGTAGATCAGTTGGAAAGGCATTTAAAGACTGTACCAGCTATTAGATCTTTTTTCCTGGCTACTTTTCTCCCCAACCCTCTCTCCCGTGTTCCAGTGTCCTTCCTCCTAATTTTCCTTGAAACAATGCCATCGCCTAGTGCTATAAGGATGCTTATCAATTATCAACCCTATATTCAAAATGCTCAGGCCTACCAGAAATTAGGGATTAAAAAAAATTAACCAAATATGTAACTGATCCATATTTTCTTCCTAAGAAATTAGCCCCAGAGAAATGTTCGAACTGGCATCTGTGAATCTCACGCAGGGATTTTGGAAATTCAATCAGAGGCAGGAGAGCAAGATATAGCCACAGTATCAAGATTAAGCGTCTGGTGAATTTTTACCAGCTTAAACCTAAAGAACAAAATCAACATAATTTTGTTTTAAGCAATCAAGCACAGAAGGAAAAAAAATCAAATTCTCATTGCTATTTTAAAATGAGCAAATGAAAACGCTTTATATGTCAACAATACCAAAAAGTAAGATCAGTTAAAGGAAGTTTTTCCTGCCTGTTTTTTCTTTGATATGTTTTGTTTTCTTGACTCAGCGGAGAATTGAAAAATTATATTAGTTTGTGACCTAAGCAAATTTTTGTTCTGCAATAGTAACTAAACAATAATTTTAAAAAGTAATGCACTTATACCAGCTACTTTCATTTATAATCATGATTCTGAAAAAATTAAATATATGAAATATCTTTTAAAAATACTAAATGCAATTTGCATAGTTGATACACTATTGAAAACTTTAAAACCCAGTGGCTATCTGCATGAAGCTACCGGAACTAACTGTGAGGTTTGCAAAGAAAAGGCCCTATGTAAAATGTACCTGAAAATATTATTACTGGTGTTATTTAAATATTAATCTTCTTATGTTAGCACTTCCTGTAGTATATGAAAAAGGCCTAACACTTCATATCCTGATTTAGCTTTAAAAAATATGGGTGGCTGACTCAGACTGTCACTTATCCATAGGAAAACTTTCTTCTAAGAATGCATTCCCAACTGAGAGATTTTGATATTGAAATGTTTCTATTTTTTCACCCTATGCAGGAATCATGAAATTATTTTATTTTTTGGCCTTGATATCAGAAATAATCAACATCCATTTTCATCTCTGAACTTTATGGAGTTGAAAGACTGCATAATATGACCAACAGTCAGAATATAAACATAGAAAGCTCATTACCATTTACTTTCTGAGATTTGATGACTTGACAAATAACTATTTCAAAACAACTAGTTTGAAACATGGTTTGAAGCTTGTTAGTATAAAGCAAAAAGAGCAATTACAATAATTATAGGTTTCTCTATACGGTTTAACACATGCACAGGCTGGCGAGAGCGAAGATGTGATCTTAAATTACCATTAGGAGGAAATTTCGCCACTTTTGTTTTCAATTTCATTTGCCATAATTTTATCTTTGTGGAATTGCTTTATTTTTAGATATGTGGAATTTGACCAAATAATTACTTATTAAAATTCTTATTAAATGAATAAGAAGATGTAAGCAGCTATAAAAATCAAAATTTAGAGCTAGAACTATACTTCCTGGGGACCAGGTAATGCCTGATCCTGCTTATTGCCTGAATGAGGATAGACACAGCGGCACAAATTATAAAAGCTGATACTCATAACACTTCACCTGTACTGATTTTCTCTGCAAAAAGCCTCTCTCTCGTAGTTAAGAAGCAATGCTTTCAAATTTTGTATTTAGTTGAGAATGGGATTCATTTCTATTTCAACTTCTAATTCATAGAAAAAAGAAATCACAAAATTTATTTGATCAAGTTCATTAAACTCCCACCTGAGGAGGAGCTGATTTTTAAAAATACATTCTGGTTTATATTCAAGATTTGGTCTTTGATAGCTCCAGTGTTATGATTTTTTGTAGGTTTTGGCTTCATGAAGTCCCCACTTCAGGACAGGTCCAGTATCTCCCAGAAAGAAGGAAACAATTTGCTGTGAGATATGGTCATGGAAACACTTCATAACTTAAGGTAATAGAAAATTCTCATTTTCCTTTGTCCTAAAATATCATTGATTACAATATTTCTCTAGCTAGGAAGCTAGAGGAAAACTGGTTTTACAAACCCTGTAGTTGCCAGTTCAAAAAGAACAAATTGTAATTCTTATAATGCTTAATTGCACTCTTCCCACAACCTAAAATCACAGTGTTTTGGAATGATTTTACATTTTTCTTCTTTTGTTTATTCACAGGGAAAACCTGCTTCCCCTGGCCTCTCTCAGTTCAGAGAGTTCAAACTGAATTTAAACAAGTAATTGACTTGTCACTGGGAAAAAAAGAAGGAATTCAGGGCTGTGCTGTCTTCAGAGGAAAGCTTGTGTAACAAATAGCTGATCATACTTAACTCCAACAATTTAGGTTAAAACACACATTGGTCATATGCGCATACACACACAGAAATGCAAG